TTGTAACTGAGAAGTTATGACCCAAAAAAAGGGCTAAGAGGGCTACATAGAATTATAGTCCAGTCATCGGTTGAAGATAAGTTTTTGGGCAAATCAGATCATTCTTTGGCTTTTGGACCTTTAACCCTGTCCATTGAAGATGGTCTAAGGTTCTAAGATTTGAGTAACAATTACAACTTATTTGTACCATCATTTATATCATTTCTCTAATAGAGATATGGCTCGCCAACGCATGTGGGTCCCATTTTTGTATGAGAGATGATACAAATAATGGTAAAAATAGGGAAAAAGAGTAACATTTTTCTTAAGATTTAACCTTGTGCCAATTTATTTAAGACTTAACTACTAAAATGTCCTATGAATATACAAAATTAACACTTCAATCTGTGTTTTAGAACCATATCACTTTTAATTCTAAGGGGTTGGCCTAGTGAAAATGAGAAAAGGTTTGGAACTTCTACAAATACATTTCTCAGGGCCACTAGCTTTCATTGGGCCTTGGGGGCTTGCTTGTTGTGGACTGTTGTCATTCTTCATAGGTAAGATTGGCTTAGCCCATTAGTGTTGAGTGTGGTATTATATGGCAGTCAAAGGTACTTTTGTTCTGAGATTATGATTTACATGACACGCTTTCCTCTCGAGGTGTTTCCGTAAGGGAGATTCTTGGTTTAGAGGTTGCCAATTGTTTGTACCATACTTGACCAATCCCGAAATTACTGAGCACCAGTCAACGTTATACCGTCAAGGACCCAGAAGAGTTTCCCTCCAACCAAGAGGCCAATCACATCGCGACACGTGTCGTCGACATCAGAAGCCAATCATAGCGCGGCACGTGTCAACATCAGAAGCCAATCACAACACGACACGTGTCAATGTCAGAATGAAACTAGAAGCTCTCTTCTATAAATAGAGATCATTCTCTCACAATATTTCCTAATGTCATTTGTACTAAATAATTCACTAGTACTCACAAAAGGAGAGCTTGAACCTATGTACTTGTGTAAACCCTTCATAATTAATGAGAACTCATCTACTCCGTGAACGTAGCCAATCTGGGTGAACCATGTACATCTTGTGTTTGCTTCCCTATCTCTATCCATTTACTTACTTATCCACACTAGTGACCAGAGCAATCTAGCGAAAGTCAAGTCACTAACTTAACACTTTCTGTTGTACCAAAGTCCTCGCTGATTTTGTGCATCAACACCAATAACTTAAGGTATCCTAATTAGAGAATGCTCTCTTGCCAATATGATAGAACACTAAGGGGACTAGTTGATATAAATTCATGTACTCGGTACAATTATTTATTGACGGTCATATATAATTGTTGGATGTCATTACAACATATAACTATTAATAGATGATTCTGCTAAGTACCAAGTATTTAGGTGATGTATCAAATTGACTTGTGCACATTAGGGTGATTCAAATTTAGGCCCTGTTTGGCACACCGTATAACGGATCGGATAGTACTAATAATACGGTGTACGGTGTTTGGTGACAATTCGGATTAAATAAGCACCGGATTAAATAATCCGGGCCCACCTTTTTTACACGGTATGTACCCGCTTGCTTATACCATCCATTTTCACGGTATAATTAGTCGGGCTCTCTTCTCTCCCGACGCAGTCTTCCGCTTCCTCTCCAGACGAATTCTTCCGCTCCCTCTCCAGACGAATTCTTCCACTCCAGGCACTCTCTCTTCCTCTCCAGGCGCTAACGAGGCTAAGTGTCTCCGACAGTCACACTACAAAGTAACGAAAAGTCCCGAAGTGTCAAAAACAGAGTCCAGCTTACATTGTTGCTTCCGTTTTACCCTCCTTCCATTTCTTTTCATTTTTCCATTTTCCACCAAAACTGACAAAAATCTTCGAACCAAAAATTTAGCAAAATCCCACAGCTGCTTTTTTTGAAAGACCATCATCCTATTCCCCTCAACTTCCCCATTCTTTCCCCAAAATTTCAATTCCCCCCACCACCACCACCGCAACCTCTTAACGCAGCGTTTCATTCTCTTCCTCTCCAGACGCCATCTTGCTCTCATCCCAGGTATGTCTTCTCACAGTCTTCTTCTTCGTTTGAATCACATTTTCGTCTTTTCAATTTTTTTCTTCTGGGATTCCGCCCTTCCCTCTATTCTTCCCCCTCCTCCTATTTTTCTTGCAATTGATTGAATCTAGTTATTATTTTCTCTCTAATTATGCAATTGATTATGTAAATTTGTGTTTTAATTAGAATTTTTGAATTTTAGGGTTTGCTATTGGGGTCGAATTTTAGGGTTTTCAATTTTCTTCTTCTGGGTTTGTTGTTGGTGTTTAACTTTAATTAGAATATGATTGGGTAGAGTGGGAGTGTGCAGGTTCACTTACCTAAACAAATTGTCTCTGGCGCAGCTCCCGTTTCACTCACTGTCTCGAAGCCGCAACGCAACCATACGGACAATTGGGTAAGCCAATTGTTCTCTGTCTCTCATTCCCCATCACCGTCTATGGCCCAAAAATTAGATCCCAATTGCTGTTCTTCTCAGTTTTTGCATCACTCTATCCATTTTTTAATTTTTATGTGAATTTTACTTTTTATCTGGATATATATATGTGTGAATAATTTCGAACTAGGGTTGTTGAATTGTTGATTGGCATTGAATTGTTGAATTTCGGACTAGGGTTGTTGAATTGTTGATTGGAATTTTTATCTGGATATATATGTGTGTGAATATATACGTGACAACCACAGATGCCAAATTAGAATGAGAAAAAAAATAATATCAAATTAACAAAACACAAGGCAGGAAACTTAACTCAAAACTAGTACCAAAGTTGCTTGTATCTTTATACGAATCAATAAAGCATTATATTAGAGTCTAAAAGCTAAGAGATCACCTCACAAATAAATTTGTTACTCAAGGCTTCTAGCTTGTGAGGAACAAGGTGATCCTCAAAATCCCCATGTCCTAGTTGACCATATTTGCTCCAACCATATTTTTTAGTAGGACTTATTAACATGTTTCCTTCCGTTTTCAGTGTTATTATGCATTCATGCTCCAGTTACTTAATTTTTTGCCACTATCTAATAATGTTATTTTATATTTTCACTAGACATGGATGAAAGAAAGATTGTGGCATGCTTCATTGTTAAGTTGTGGTACTTGAATATTGTGACTTGGTTGATGATGTGGTTTATGATGAATCATAATTCAGCTAGAAGGCGGAATCGGCAACTTGCACTTAGAAATCGCACATTTGTTAGGAGAATGGTAGGGTCAGCCTATTTAGATAGCATAATAGGATATGATGATGTTCAGTGTGTGAACCAAATTAGAATGGATAGAAGAACATTCCATTATTTATGTCAGATGCTTCGTGACGACAGTAGAGTAAAATTGGATGGTGTAGTGACAATGGGAAGAACAAGTTTGCATGTTTTTTTGCATATACTTGCACATCATGTCAAGAATCGTACACAATTGGGAGTAGGGTTTTGTCGATCGGGGAGACCATAAGTAGGTATTTAGGTATATTCAATTCCATTCTACTGGAGTGTTAAGGCTACAAGTGTAAGACTAGACTTTTGAAAGTGCCAGAACCCATTCCTAATGCCTACCCAGATCCTAAATGGAGTTGGTTTGAGCTATTCTTCATTCATATTTATATAAAAATTACTTTCTAAAATTAATGTAATTAAAATATATTGAGCTTACTAATGTTAATGATTTTTTTTAGAATTGCTTGGGGGCATTGGATGGGACTTACATTAACGTTCATGTCCCTGAGCGAGATAAACCAAGATACTGATCGAGGAAGGGAGAGATTGCGACCAATATGTTGGGAGTTGGGAGTTTGTAATCTGGACATGAATTTTATATTTGTGTACCCAGGTTGGGAAGGGTCGGCCCTATGATCTAGAGTACTCCGAGATGCGATAAGTAGACCATCGGATTAAAAGTTCCCACGGGTAAACAATAGATTTTTTGTTTATATTAGTAATTTGAATCCTCATTTTTCTTATATATAGTAATATACATTTTTTGATGTGTTAGGGTGTTACTACCTTGTGGATGGTGGGTATACAAATGGTCCAGGATACCTTGCACCGTATAGGGGAGTGCGTTACCATCTCTCGGAGTGGAGAAATAGAAGACTCCCGATTAATCATGAGATGAGTAGTATTTCAATATGAAAAACATGCTCAAGCTAGAAATGTCATTGAGAGATGTTTTGGACTACTTAAGATGCGTTGGAGCATCTTAAGAGGTCCATCATTTTTCCCAATTAAAACACAACTTAGAATTATGACAGCCTACTGCCTATTACATAATCTTATTAGAAGGCATATGTCAGCTGATCCAATAGAAAATGAAATCCTAAACTTGGACGAATCTGAAAGTAGTGATGATGATGAAGATATGATTGAGAGTGTCAACCTACACAAGAATGGACTGCATGGAAAAACACTTTGGCCATGAATATGTACAATGAGTGGCGTGCACAAGTGTGATTTGATTAAATATTCTTACATATGCATGTTGTCATTTGGTTATGGTTTGTTATTTGAACAAATAGTGATTTCTTATGTATTCGGTTATGATACTTAACAAAGTGTGACCTGGTTATGTATTTATTTAAAAACTGTAATGATTTGCTTATGGTTTTTCACTTACTATTAATTATATGCACTGTGGATTATATGCTATCTTATTGTGTATGTAATTATAGGAATGGAAAGTGAACAAAGTAGTCAACCAAAAGGAAGTAGAAGGGTTTGGAAACAATATGAAGAAGATGCATTGTTGTCCATACTTGAGGATGCAATTGTTAAGAATTTGCGATGTGATAACGGTTGTTTCAAACCTGGAACAATGGCTCAATTTGAAACTGCAATTAATTTGAAATGTCCTAATGCCAATATAAAGGCAGTTCCACATATTGAGTCCAAAATGAGGAGGTGGAAAAAGATTATGCAATAGTTTATGACATGGTTAATAAAACTGGTTTTGCATGGAATGATGTACGAAAGTGTATTGAGGTTGATAGCAATGAAGTATGGTAGTCCTATGTGAAGGTAATTCTGTAACATAAAACTAGAATTTAACTTTACATATTTGATTACTTAACATGTTCCTTTACATACAATTTAATAGTATGATTGTGTCTACCAAACCATATCCTCTAGCCCCATTCTGGAACAAAATAAGATTATTTGTATTTTATGGATAATGTGATTTGTTTTCGCATTGCAGGTTAATAAAGAAGCAGAGGGCTGGCTAGGAAAATCGTTTCCATTGTATGACAGATTGAATGTTATTTTTGGGAAAGACCGAGCAACTGGAGTAGGAGCTGCAACTCCTACTAAGATGATGAATGAACTTGAGCACATTAATGAAGATGAAGATGAAGATGAGGTGGAGACTAGTTCTCATTTTGTTGCTTGACGGTCAAGCAGTTCAAGTACTCGGAAAAGGAAGAGAGCTGCTACTGATAATGATCTTGCTGTGGCATTTAAAGAAATGCTTTCTGAATCAGTGGATAAGTTGGGTGAAGTTTTACAAGCTGTTTTTGGGAAAGGAGTGGATCCAAAACCTGAGATTGCTTCAGAATTGTCAAAGATGGATTTGTCTATTGAGGATCAAATCAAGGCACTCAATATTCTTTTCGAAAAGCCACAGAATGAGAGGACATTCTTGTCTTTGGATTGTGCAATGAAAAAAGCTTTCGTACTCATGTTACTTGGACAAAGTAACCGCAATTGACATTTCAAACCAACAACAATATATTTTGTTAAAAGCAACATGCATATGTTTTGGCTATTTGGACAAACTGTTTCTTAGTGAAACCAACTTGCATTTGTATATTTTATGAACTTGAATATGTGGTTGGATTAATCTATATAACGTAATGACTTGTAGTTGTTTTTTGTGAACCTTCTTTTATGTTATTGGAAAATATTTTGAATTTGATGTATGGAATTTACTATGTTTCTTTGTTATTTGAAAATTTGTGTGGTTTTCAATAGGTATAAATATGAGAAAAGTTCAACAAACAAAGAAAGATTTGTTAATTTTTTTTTCTCTTGTCCTATCCGGTTCAGTACCAAACACAGTATAAATAATACGGTCATTAATCCGATACTGCACCAAATGCCCCACTAATTTAGTCAGTACTATCCAGTGGCTATTTATCCTATCCGACAGAAATAGTCAGTATAGTCCGAGCTGCCAAACGAGGCCTTAGTGTTTTATATGCTGATGACGTCTTACTGCATTGGCAAAAAGTAATTACGCATATGCATACATTTGCGAGTTCAATCTTCATTGATCCCTTCTCTTAATTACAAACAATTTAACCCACTAACGTTGTTAAACGTTTGTAAATAAAAAATAAAAAATTCAATGTTTTATGGTAATATAAACTTGCTTTATGTGGAAATATTGAAAAGTGGAGGCAAAAAGAAAAGACAAATTAAAAACAAAAGAGTTTTTTTTATCATAAATGGTCCTTGAAATTGACCATCACCATCAAGATGATCCATAAAATTGAAAATCGATTAATGTGGTCCCTGAAAATAGGGTGTTGCAAATCAATGTGGTCATTCCGTCACAATTCTATTAAAAATTACGTTAAGTGCTGATATGGCACATAAATAGGTCTCATAAGTATATTTTTTTTCCCCACAAATGGTCCTTGAAATTGACCCGCGACATCAAAATGATCCCTGAAATTGACATGCGACATCAAAATGGTCACTGATATTGAAAATCAATCAATGTAGTCCAGCAAGTAAGTGTCTCAAATCAATGTAGTCATTCAGTCACAATTCTGTCAAAAATTATGTTATGTGCTAATGTGACACATAAATGGATCACACAAGTTTAATTAAATTAAAAAAATTACAAATAGGTTTAATAATTTAATAGTTAATAAAAAGTTGTGAACCCAAAAATCCAGTCTTGCAATCACCTCTGATCTTAGTTCACATTCTTTTACCTCATTCAGTATCTATTCTTAAAAAAAAAAAAATCTCAATTCATCCATCTTTACACACTTCAACACCCTTCACCGAATTGAACCTGGATTGAGATCACTTTTGGTGACGGCTTGGCTGATTGGCAACAACTTCTGAGACATCACCGTTAACATTTAGACGATCAACATCCTCACGACCTTAATCTTGGAGAGCTTGTTTGGCACTTTACTAGTGGTCTGGTGACTCAAAGAACAACGAGTTATGCCTTGAGATAATGAGGTTATAACTGAGATGTGTCTATTGTTGGTTGAAAACTATTTCCAAATCCCTTCTTAGGCCTTGGTTAAGCCTTCTGCTTTTGTGAATTTATGGGAGCGATCTCTTTTATGAGGAGGTCCTACTATAAGAAAAAAAAAAAAATCTATTATGCAAAAAGATATCTAGACAACTTTTTTAATTAATTATTAAACCCACATCAGCACATAACAAATTTTTTTACAAAATTATGGCGATCATATTGATTTGCAGCACCTATTTTCAAGAACTACATTAATCGATTTTCAATTTTAGAGACCATCTTGATAGTGTGGGTCAATTTCAGGGACAATCTTGATGATGTGAGTCAATTTCAGAGACCATTTGTGATAAAAACTCGTAAATCTTGTGAGACCCATTTATGTGTCACATAAGTACTTAAACGGAATTTTTAACAGAATTGTGACGGAAAAACCACATTGATTTGCGATACCTATTTTCAGGGACTACATTATTTAATTTTCAATATCAGTAGGGTAATGATAAATTTCAAAAACCATTTGGGATAAAAATCCAAAATAAAATAAATAAAATGGCAGAAGTAGCCCAATATTTGTGCCTGCAAAATGCGCATATCCCCTAATAATTAACGGGTGTTTTCCGCAATTTCGCTATATGTTAACTTTTAGGGTAAAAGACTGTTTACTACCCTCATGTTTCGTGGTTTTCAACATTTAGTACATTAAGTTTTTTTCGTCTCAGTGTCATACCTAAAGTGTTAATTTTGGGACAGTCTCATACATCCGTTAGTCAAACTGTTAAGTCTGCTGTTAACTAATGACGTGGCGCCCATGTGGACAATGACTGGGCGCCACGTGTCATTAAAAAAATTAAAAATTAATTAAATAAAAGTACTTAAAAAAAAACAAAACAAAATTAAAAAAAACAAAACAAAACCCCTTTTTCACTTCCCCCCTTCGTCTTCCTCATTGGAAAAAGGGCTGGATTCCTTCCCCCTTTTTTCCTTCCCCCTTCGTCTTCCCCACTGGTGCGACAGTAAGCCCCTTGCCTCCCTCACCCGCGCTAGCTTCCATCTCCACCGCTCGCTCCCCTCTCTCCTCTCTTTTCTCTCCTCTTCTCTTTCCTTTTTCCTCTCTCTCTCTCTCTCTCTCTCTCTCTCTTTCTCTCTCTCTCTCTCTCAGGTTTCTCTCTCCTCTCTCTCTCTCTCAGGTTTCTCTCTCCTCTCTCTCTCTCGCCAGAAGAGCAAAACCCTAAATAACCGTTTACACCCACCTGAGTAAGTTTTCTCTCTCCTTTCTCCTATCTTCTCTCTTCTTCTCACAATCTCTCTTTCTCTATCTAAAATTTGAATATATGGGTTCTTGTACTATTAACCTGCCATTTACATTCTTGTGCATATTTGTATATTTAAAAGCTTCAAACTTTATTATGAATTTGTTATTTTTCTCCTTGTTATACCCAAATCTCAGATCCCAATTTCTCATATTACGAAACCCTAATTTGTTGTATTTGATTTTGGATGGAAATTCAGATCTTGGTGTTGTTTGTTTACTTGGTTGGGAGATAGGGACTGGGAACTTGTAGAGCTTGACGGAGTGGTTAACGGAGCCGGAGGTGAGGCAGGTGGAGTTGGGGCTGAGAGCGAGAGCCGTGACACTATCGCGGTGGTGGCGGAGGAGCTTGGGAGGGCTGGACAAGATAAGAGAGTCGTGGATGGCGATTGTGGGGTCGGAGGAGGAGGCCGTCACTACGTGGTAGGCCTGCTGGTTCCATAGCACCGAGCAGTACGACGGCCCCCCGCCGCTGCTCGTGGGCTTGTGCGCCTCTCGGAGCTTCAAAGTTCTGATCTTCATGGCTCTGCGTGCGGATCGACGGAAACTTGGATTTGGGTTTTTATTGTATTTTCCAGATTTCTTTGTTGTTTGATTTTTTTTTTCATGGTTTAGAGGGTATTTGGGGCTGAGATTTGATTTGGGTTTTGAAAGTTTTAGCTCGATTTTTGTAGGGTTGTTGATTTTTCTGGATTTTGGAGATGAAGATTGAGATGGGGTTAGGATGAGGGGTTTGGGATGATGAAGATAAAGTCATGGTTGCTGTAGTTTTAGGAACCACTTTTTTTTTTTTTTGAACCCCTTCACAAAAAAAAAAAAAAAAATTCCACGTGGACCTTTTAACGACACGTGGTGCTTAGTCATTGTCCACATGGGCGCCACGTCATCGGTTAACGGTAGATTTAACAGTTTGACTAACAGATGTATGAGATTGTCCCAAAATTAACACTTTAGGTATGATTCTGGGACGAAAAAAAATTGATGTACTAAATGTTGAAAATCACAAAACTTCAGGGTAGTAAACAGAGTTTAACCCTAACTTTTATTACTATATTAGACATGCGCTTGGCACTTGGTCAAAAGTTCGTTTAATTAATTAATTAATAGACGCAAATGCCAATTGGTGAGACGATGTTTGAATTGATATCAAAGCAGTCGCTAATAATACTTCCTCTAATACTTGCAGGTGCGGTTTCTCTGTATCTCTCCGTCAATTTTACACAATCCAGACCAAAAGCAATCAGTCCATCTGGGTCTGAAGAAGGATCTCCCATGGCCGCCAACGAATTTGGTGTAACAGTTGACAAGAATCCTACTCAGTCCAAGCTCACTGAGCTTGGAATCTCAACTTGGCCCAAGTATGTAATTCTTCATATTCCATTCTCTTATCTTTTACCTTCCAAGTGTTTAAGCTTCAAAGATATATGCGCTGGAAAAAAGAAATAATTTGTGTGTTTATATGATCCAGTGAGAAAATTGGGTGATGCGTTTGTTTTGGTTCACTGTGAGAAATTTTGTTACGGTTTTTGAGGATGGATTAGAGAAACATTTCAGAGACTTGGTAGGATTTTTTTTTCCCTTTTATGTTTCTCTATGTTACTGCTAGTTCATTGTTTGGATGAAAGATTTCAACTTTTTGATGTTTTAATTTTGCATCCCTTTTCTTAGTGTTGGTAAACGCCTAAAATATTTCTTACCCAACTTGAAAATTTGTAAAACCATGGGTCACAAGGAGGCTTTGAACATGATTGGATCAAGAGATGAGTGCTGGAAGCTTGGGGAAAAAAGCTTAATGTTACATTTGAAACCAACCACCCTGCGAAATTATTTGATTTGATCAGAAGCATGGACATTAGGACTGAAATAGATTAAAAATCGTGCGGTCCATGTGATCTCGTTGATGCTTCAATTTTGTGTTATTTGAAGGATTATTTCGTTTCGAATAGTTATTTAATTAATCGGTGGATAGGAGTATACTCTGGATTGGAATTGTGTCATGGGAGAAGAAGCATGGTATATCACATCCAGGAAATAGATAGTTCCTTCCTTAAAGTTGTCAACTATTGTGCTCCCCTGCCCTCCTGTCATTTAGCGGCTGGCTAGAGTGGACGTACTGGGCATTTAACCCCCGTCCTCCTTCAATCACCTCCACCAGCAGTCCTTGTCGGTTTTAGCTATGGTTGGTCCGTTTGTTTCTTCATTCAGTTTTTCTCTTCAGGCCTTGTCTTGTCCTTCTGGGGAACACTTTGCCTCCCTGTTGTAAATGAAGTACTATTTCAATAAAAATAAAAAAAGAAGCTTTCGACTATAATATTTGCTCGACAAGTTCATAGATGAAAGAGATATCACAGGTAATGAAGTCAACGTTAGCTGGTACAATGTTAGTTCAG